TTCTATTGGTTATTTATTTTTATTTATCAAAACATCTGTATTTTATTTTAACAGGATTATGAAAAAATGACATAAGTTGTTTAATCCGATGTAATTCAAATAATAGTGTATGACTAGCATCGGATTTTATTTTTTGTTGTTAGTTCTTTTTAGTATGTTTCTTTTTTTTGCATAAAGCTTGTAAAAACTGTTCTGTTTACAAACACACACACAAGTTCCTGAGCACAAAAGAAGAGAGAGAGAGAGAGAGAAATAGAAAGTGAATATATATATAGATATATACAGATGTGCGAGATTCCAACGACAAAATGTCTTAAATGCTACACTGGTCAATTGAAGACAATTATATAAACACAAAAACAAAGCAAAGAACATAAGGATATATATATGTATATATATCCAAAACACAAATAAACGAAAATTGCCTAAGACAAACAAAAGTTAAATAACACCTTCAATTGAATTTGTATCTAAATTTAATATAAGAACTTTAATAAATAGCATTTCTTTTCGTGCATTTTCAAATATAACTTTAGCATCTTCTGAATCACATCGAAGAATATTAGGTGCAAATACCATTGATAAATTATTTACATCCATTTTAGTAACAACAACATTTTCTGGTGCAGCAAATACCTAAAAGACAAAAACATGATTGATGAAAAACAAAAAATATCAACGAACCTGAAGGAAACGAACGAGATATGTTAAAACAGCTCGATTTATATCAGGTAAAGAATTGACAAGACGAATGCATGTTTCTGGTATATCACAGTTAAGAATGCATTGTTCATAAAATACAGATGGTATTAATGGTTCAGCTAATTCACGATACCAAAGTTTTAATAATGATGCAGGTAAATGAGCATCTTCAAGTGCTGGTAATTGCCATTGATCACATCTTACTTTCAATGCATTAACACCATCCAAATCTCCAGGGACACTAATGATTTATTTTTTTGGATATTTTTTATTATGATAAAAAAATAAATCAAACTTACCGAAATATTCCTTCTGTTTGTGAGCCATTTAATCTTAATACTTCTTCGGATAAGATGGTTTGTATCCAAGGTAAACGTCGTTCAGGAAATCTTGTTCTTTGCATAGCCATGACTTCTTCAAGTGTAGCACCAAACATTGATGGAAAATGTATTGTATGCTAAAATCATGTATAGTTTGAATAGATCGTAATGCGTGTTAAGAGTACTTAATGATTCAATCAAATTCTGCGTAAAATTATTATAAGAAAAACGATATTGAAGTCTAGTATTATTAAATGAGACAAATCGAATTTTCATATGTCATCTGTCATTTGTGACAAATTGAGTCAAAAAATAGTTGTATGTCGGAAAGATAATTTCTTATTCTATTTTCTCAAGTAATAAAAATTATTTACCTTAGAAAGTTCAATTTCTTCAAATGTTGGTTTTTTTAATCCTTTTTTTGGACCTGTTTGTAGAATTTTTTCTATACGTTTCTGACAAACTTTAGCATAAATTGATATTGGTACTTCAGGTGTATCAGCATCTCCATTTGTTTGTAATATGATATATTTTTCTAATAATGATTGAAATTTACCTGATGGTGGAAAAAATGAAAGACAAACCGCTAAAATAAAATAAATATACATATACATATACATATTATTTGAATAATTAATTTACCCATTAATTCCCAACCACGTTGTAAACTTTCCGCACTAATATTATAACTAGTCTGTTTAATTAATTGTAAATAAAGTTCATCACGTATTGTTGGTAAACTCCAACCTTTTGTTGTTAATTCTAAACACGTATTTAATGATGCTATTTGTTTCGATTTTTTATCTCCCATATATGTCTGAATAAGTTTAAATATTTCAGGTGCTTCTTTTTTTAAAACTTTATCCATTGTACGTAGAAGAGGTTTTGTTATTGGTTCTTTTGACCATGATAATAAATCATCTTGTGTTAAACGTTTACCAAATAAACCACGTTTATGTGTATTAAAATTTAACATATCATTAAATAAGATATCCGATTCAATTTCAACAATTGCTGCAGGAGCTTTATTTGGAGAAGATGATGAATGCCACTAATATTAAAAGAGAAATTAATCAATAATTAATTAATAATAATAAATACCTGTTTATACATCGATGTCTGATTATTTTGATTTGTATTATCAGTTAAACCATGTAAATGTATTGAAATTGGTCGAGTTAAACTTGCAGAAGATGAATCAGGTTCATTTGATCGATTCATTGCTAATGAAAATATAAAAAAATGAATTTTTATAATAGACAATATAAAATACATACAATGTTGTGTTATAGAATTTGATAGTGGAGGTGAATTTGAATGACCATCATAATAAATAGGTAAAGTAGGTGATGAAAGTGTTGATGTATTCGAATTAGTACCACAACCAGTCATAACACTATTCTCATTATTTCCAAGATTAAAATTTAAATTCAATGGATCAGTTGTTGAATGGAATAGAAATTCTATAACAAATAGATATATTATCATTCGTAATAAGACATATTGATAAGTTCATGGTTATTTTATTCATATTATGTAAAGCAATCACAATAATATATCTCTATAGAATTAGACATTTCTTAATTTGATGAAAATTCTCTTCTTTGAGGCCTTCTATTGAGTGTATATGATGGATTATAGTAGAATAAGATAACGAGGTAGTGCAATTTCTTTATCTTTACAATCAGGAAATTAGTAACTTATCATTAAATGAAAGACAAAATGTATTCATGTTTTCTAGTAACACAAAAAAATACCGATAGTTATACTCTTTAACCTAAACTACGTGAATGATTGAATGTTAGATATTTACGATAGAATCATGTTTTTTCTTTTAGTATTCTACTGTCATATGATTTAATTTCAACAAAATGTTATTCATTGCAAAAAAAGATTTATGTCTATGTTGTACTCACCATCATTACATGTAACAAACTGTTTCATCATAAGAGCTGTTTTGTTAGTTAATGTTTGAGCATCATCTGTTTGGTTATTTTCATTTTGTTGTTGCATAATAATTTCATTTCGTTCTTCATTAGTTTTTATCCATTGTGGAGATTTTTTTGTTGGTGTTGTTTTTCCTCCAGCACCATTACCACTATGAATTGTGTCATTACTTGTATAATATTCATTTGTTTCATTTAAATATGGTTGTGAATGAAAATGTGAATTACAAACAATTGAATCTTGTCCAGTTGAAGGATTTTTTGTTGATGATGATGATGATGAACTACTTGATGATGATGATGATAATGTTGATGTTTTAGGTTTTTGTACATCATGTATACGAATATATGTACTACGAAGTGAACCATCATTACTTTTAATTTCAATATTAACATAATTTGGATTTGTACGTGGTTGTTTCTTTCGTACACGATTACGTCCATATGATAAACGATTAAATGTTGATTCAGGTGGAACGATTGTTGATGATTCCATAGAAGAATTTGCTATTACATGATTATTAGTTTTATTATGTACAAATTGTTGATGAGGAATGAGAACTGTTGAACTTTGTAATGATGGACTACTTATATGACGAAGTATTGGAGATTGTTGATGAACTTGAGAATTTTGATTGAAAAGCTAAATGTAATTAACTCCCTCTTATTCCTCTGTACAATGAATAAAAAACATAACTCTTCAACTTACATGTTCATTTAAAGGTGAACAACTCGCCGTATTTAAATTACATAGTTGATCTTTATTTGTTACTGAAGATTTATTTGTTCTATGATGTGCACTACCCGAACGTTTATTTTCATCTGTTATTCCTGCTCCTCCTCCTCCTCCAATAGGAGTTGATTTGAGTGTGTATGGTGTTTTTAAATTAATACTTTGTGAACGTTTTGTATTGAATTCATTTCTTGGTGTACCCATTGTTGATGATGATGATGATTGTCGTTCTATATACAAAAGAAAAGAAAATGATTATTTTCGCTTATGATTAAATCAGAGAGCGACAACAAAATACTACTACTAATAATATACCTTCTGATTCATTTTGTGATGTTGTCATAATTGATGTTGTTGTTGTTTTACGAATAATTGGATAATTATCATAACCATTTTTTTCTGGATAATTATCATAAGCATCACTCGTTAGAGAGTCATTTGTTAGATGTCGATTAGCTTTTTTATTTAATGGAAATGATGTTTTTCTTTCTAAATTAGTTGATGATATTGTTGGTGTATCAGTTGCATTATTTAAATTATCATAAGTCGATTTTTCACTTTTATTTGTTGGTGATGAATGTTGTCTTAACAGAGAAAATGTTGTCGAAGACATTTTATTTAAATTTTCATCGAATAGAGATGATTTTGTTGATGATGATGTCGATGATGACTTATCTAATTGTCCATTAAGCGGTTGCTGTTGTTGCTGCTGCTGTTGTTGTTGTTGTGTTCGACGACGAAAAAAACTATTAGTTTGATTTGAAGTTGTTGGTAATGTTATATCATTACAAGCAATTGTGCGACGTGGATCATTAGGTACGCTTGAAGTAAGCATTGTATTTGGATGAAGTATAGTTGCTGTACGACGAATAGACTAAAATAAATAATGATAGAGTTAATCAGATAGAAATCTATTCTATTTACACGTTGTGTAGTTGTAGTAGAACTTAATGGTGGTGTAGATATTTTAGATGGTGAAATGATTTTATTTTGTTGTGGTGATACATCAAGGCCTTGTAGTGATATTTGTTTCCATTTATTATTATTATTATTATTATTAGAACGTTGTTGAACTGTATGATTGATCGCTGATGCTGGTGAAGTAATTGTTGTTGATGTTATTTGTTCATCTTTTGGTTCGGTGTTCTCTTTGATCATCTGAATAGACAGAAAAAAGAGAAAAGTCGATTATGGTGGAGTTGACCATGAACATGTCAGAATAAGAAACGAGAAGCAGAAAAAAGATTAACATCATTTATCTATATCATAGATAGACTTATAAGTGTATATCTCTTCCAAAAAAAAAAAGAAAGTCAATGATGATGATTAATATCTGGCACATGTTCTTTCATTCTCGTATAAATAGACAAGACATAAGATGACTCAATTACGTAATTCTAATATTCATATATACCTGTAATTTCGCCAAAGGAATAATATCAGCACCTGGTGGTCGTTGCCATACAGTTCGTTGACTTTTTGCATTATAATAATAATTACGTTTAGTACTAGCATCAAATAATTCCCACCATTGATTTTCATCTGTACGTTTACTAGAATAAAATTAATAGAAAAACATTTATCCATATATCCTGTCTGCATATATCTTCTTATTTCCTTTTGTTTGGAAAAAAAGAAATAATTTAGTTCACTAATTGTATAATTTTCAGTTATACATAAGACAAAATAAAAAATCATCAACCTAGACAATATTATTCTAGCCTATATACAGACATCTGTTCTACGATTAGTATATAATGACATTTTCTTCGTTTCTATTGTGTCTATATGGAGTATAAGCGTACATTTGTTCGTACGTGTACTTATGCTTGTCGTTTTTTATTCTCACACTATGTATTGACTTGACCTTTTTCTCATTCGTTCTCGTATACGTTTGTTAGTGAAAGAAACAAAAGGTACAATACGAAGTGTCTGCTGTCGTCTACATTTTCAAATCTATACTTAATTAGTCTTTCAATATGAAATAGAAGATGATAGATTCAATATATATCTATAGTAATAATTAGATTTTTAACATATAAAACTTACATTCGTGCACCAGCTGGTGCTTCCCAAACACATTCACCAGTAATAAGATTGGCATACATGATGTCCTTGGATTTTGGTTCGATAATTTGAACCCATTCGATTCTAATTAGAGGAAAGAAAAATAATATTAAATTGCGTATTTTTTTTTCTCTTATTTACATTAGACATGACAAAAAATATACTGATATTTTATAACTTACCTCTCACCCATATCTAATATATTGACTTTCAATGATTAATAAATAACACACTAATGAAAACAGTAATATCAACAAAGTGATATACATGCACACATCGTCGCATGATTTATTTCGACGAATTGATATTTTATTTGTATATAAACATCTAGATGAAAAAAACAAATAATTAATGATTAGACATATTGTTGTACAAGAGAGAGAAACAAAAAGAAAAAGTTTCTTACAATTTCTTTAAAATATGAATAACGAAACACAAAAAAAAAAAGAAGAGAAGAGAATGCTTATGATGATGCCCGTAGAGAAATTAACAGACATGAGAGAGAGAGAGAGAAAGGGGAGTGCAAATATGTACGTGAGAAGAATCGACACATGCATCATACATCAGGCAAAGCTATTAGCGTAATCAAGTGAATGTATGGTCGGCACTCTTGCGTATGTTTAATTTCGATTGTAAAAAAAAAAGTGTCTTGTTATCGATTAGACATAAAAGGTGTCAACAAGATGTATTGAACAGAAAGAAAATAATTGCTAGGATATTTTGATAATCATCTATATTGTTGCTTTACTTCAACATAAACGTATAATACGAATGTCTGCATTCCATCATCGATTTATCTATTCAACCAAACCAGTATAATGATAATTCTCATCCTTTAAAAGAGAATTCTTTCTCTCTGTCTTTTCCTCATTCGGTCATAGACATCGAGGAGTGAGTGAGGAAAAGAACGTTTGCGATCGTAGCTGCTCAATCGTCACGATCTCTTCTAGTATACATAAAAAAATGTATATATATATATATATATATGCTTGTCTGTCTATAAAGGAAGCAGAATGAGGAAATAGATTGTAAAGGGGTGACCAAAGAGGAGAAGTAAGGAAGAAAAGAACGAAGAAGAGGTCATCAAGACGTCGCTTATTTATCGGACATGCGATTACGTCCGTCAATCCTCCTATGTAATCGATTGACCGACTTGTCTTTCTGAGAAAAACAATAAATGAAGGAATAAAAGGAAATGCTAAATAACAAGAAAATCAATATCATACTAAATGAGAACCAGATTTTTTTATATCTAGAAAACAAATGAGATGGAAGACACAGAATCTTTACTTACGTCATTGACTGACATTTATTTGGCTTTTTTTATATCAAAAGAACTCTTCTAAGTCTTCTTTATTTTGAAATTAAAACTACAATCAACCTTAAAAGATTTATCACACATAATGCATTTAACTTTAGAAGGAAATGAAACGAATAGAAAAAAATCAGATATATTACCATATTGAACACAAAAAAAAAAGAAATCGTATATAAACGACAGAAAGAAGAAGGGTTAGACAAAATGTATATAAAGAGAAGAAGACGGAGAAGAAGAAGAAGAAGAAGAAGAAAAAAGAAAAAGAAAGAAGCACATCTCACTAGAGGAATGGTCTCTTACTATTCACCAATGATAAAAATAAAAAAATATATTGGTGGCGCTAGATGACATTTCTCATCTAAAAATAAGGAAGAAACAAAATAGTAAATAATTTGTTTTGCTTAGATACTTATCATATAAAAATATTGTTTTGAAATATGCCCAAACCATCACGTCGTGTAATAGGCAAACCGAGTGCTTTAACATTCAATGATCTTCATGGTAAAGGAATTATACTTTCAAATAACAATCGACAAGCAACACGAACATCAGGTTTCGGTGATGCAATTGTATTTAGTTCACGAACAATACGTACATATGAAAAAGTTTTTTTAAAACATCGTCAAAAACAAGTTGATTGGATCGGTAGTCTTCGTGTTGGATTTTGTATGCATGATCCTAAAACACAATTTACTCAAGATACATTACCAAGTTTAGCTTTCAAACATCTAACAGGTTCGAAAAAAATAAATAAACAAACATAAAATTATTTATTTTGTTTATTTCAGATAAAGCTGGATATTGGTTACGAGCTTGTTCTGATGAACTTTTACGAACTGCATCTATTATTTATGTGTATTATTCTTTCGGTAAAAAGATTATTTTTACTTAAAATAATTAACGTTTTCATTTTAGATGGTCAAATCTATGTTGGTGGTTATGGTCAAACAGCACCTGCTCAAGCCGTTTTAACTATAAATGAACATTGTGGTTCGTATTTTTTATTTTGTGAAGTTTATGGTAAAACAGATCAAATTGAAATTATTGATGAAAATACATTACCAGATCAAACATTAGTTAATGAAGGTTTATCATTATTAATCCATGGTAATGTTATTGATTCAGTTAAAACAAAATTAACAACCAATACATATCTTTCTCAACTACAATATTTCAATTATTTATTTCCATTAAATCCTCCACATACATTAACATTTCTACCAACAACAAAACATAATGTTATATTTACAAATAATAATCGAATTGTATGTGTTAATAATCTACGAATAAAATCAAGTTATGTTTTTATTAATACACCAATGAAAGTTGGTGATGTTTTAATATGTAAAGTATTAGATTGTGATGCAAATATATCTTCAATAATTCTTTTTGGTTTAACAACATATAATCCAACATCATTACAAAATCAAAATTTACCTGAAGATACAACAACACTTGTACAACAATATTCAATAGGAAAATGGTTTCTTGATAATGATATTAATATAAATATTTCAATGTATGATGAATTAGCATTTTGGTTTGATGCAAATTGTCAAATATATCTTTCAATTAATAATCGTTTACCAATAAAACTTAAAAGTCATATATCATCTTCGGATATAAATAATCTTATTTTATATCCATTTTTTGATCTTTATGGACAAATAACTTCACTTTATTTATATAATTTTAGTACGTTAACTAAAATGAATTTTAATACACCATCAAATGCTCGAACATTATGTTTAATATGTTGTGAAAATTTAGCTGATACACAATTATTACCATGTCAATGTATATTATGCAATCAATGTGCAAATGTTATTAAACGACCAAGTTTACTTTCCGATTGTCCATTTGATAGAAAACATATTACACAAATTCAACCATTAGTGTGATTTTATTTTAGTTTTTTCCTTTTTAGAAATTTCGAAAAAGAAAAACGAAAATGAAACAAAAACAAACTTTAATCTTATTAATTACAGCTGATTGTCTTTGTATTTTTTTATAATTTTTGTTCTGTAGTCAGATTTCGGCTGTATTTTTAAATGCAAATGGTATTTTGTGATAAATTGAAAAACGAAATAAATATTTTTTT